TTAGGGTTTAGGGTTTTAGGGCATTTAGGGTTTAGGGTTTAGGGTTTAGGGTTGCTCGAGAAACTTGGAGGAGACCCTGGTCAGGAGTCCTTTTGGGTGGGGGAATCCTGCTACTCTAGTGCCTAAACAACTACCGATACTATTTTGGGGGTCTCCTCAAAAAAAATCGCATCATACACCCCACAACCCCTAGTCCAACTATTCAGGCCCCATACAGCATGTCGGGTGTTCGGGTCCCTGGAAGCCCCCATTTAGCCATCCTCAAATCTGTCAAGTTTTTGGCTTCTTGCGAACTGCTGCTTTCCGGCTCTGCCGTAGGGTTTAGGGTTTGGGGTTTTGGGTTGCCGGAACTAACATTCACATAAACGAGAGTGCAGCGGGGAGTGGTATAACCAGCCATATCTGAATAATAACCGTTAATAACCCAATACCAGCAAAAGCGGTAAGATTTGGTATGGCAGCTGGCATGTCAAGAGCAGCAGCAACAGCAGCACAGCCAAGCAAACCAGCAGAAGAAAACGGCGGTGAAGACAGTGGCAGCAGCCAGAGCACGAAGAAGCACAACAACAGAATCGAGCTTCTTGATCTGAGCCAGAGAGATCCGGAGCGGTCTGGCTGGGACCTTCCCCTGAAAACCCTAAAACCATACAGGTGCCATGGGACCTTGCCCATGATAGGCAAAGCATCGGGCGGGCATGGGCGCATGCAGGCCTGCACAACGTCAGGCTCGCCGCCGAGCCTCATCTGTATGGCTGACTGACATAGAAACCTTTATTGAGCTCCCTATGTTCGGCGTTACGGCTCCGCGAGGAATGGTATAACTCCATATCGAGATAGTAGCAGGCTGAATCCGGCTCAGATGGTTGCGCTCACATTGAAAAGCCGCTGAATGCCTAAACCCTCACAAGGACGATCTCGGCTCCGTTGAAAACCCCTCCACAAGGAACTGAAACTGGGAGGACGCGAAATCAACCATGTGGTCCTTGCAGGCGGAATCCCCAAAACCACCTGGAACGTGACCCTTTACAAGAACGCCCCTAAACCCTAAACGCTGAACCCTGAGCCATCATGAAACTTCTACCAACCGTGAGCATTCAAACCAGACCAATCAATGTCACTCTTCTCTACTTTCACTGTCACTGTCACCCCCGAGCGTATGATCCGCACCCTAACTTGTCCTCCCCACAACCATCAGGAGCGGCAGCACTATCTACATTTATAGGATCATCGTCAGCATTCGAGCCCATTTCCGTGCTCTCTCCAGCGGCATGATCTTTATCGCCCAAAGGGTCTAAGTAACAGTATAGTATATACTTTGGGGCCCACACACCTACTAAGAACCTACTATATCGGTACCCTAAACCCCTAAACCCCTGAACCCCTAAACCCTAAACCCTAAACCCGAAACCCTAAATCCCCAAGGGTTGAGCTTCAATGCCATGAGAGTCCCCGTTATACAGGCCCTAACCCCTGAACCCCACAGTAATGTAGGGGCCTTAATGAATAGAATAGGGTTTTGGGGCCCCTTTCTTGTATAAGTATACTAAGGAACCCCGAAAATAATATAGGTAAATATTCAGGCCCCTATACTAGAGCGAGGTGGCAGCTATCGTTTCCGTGGGTAGTCTCGGGTGAAAAATCAAGATACGATCTCACTGAATCTGGGCTTTAGCTTATGGGCTTGGGGTTTAGGGTATGCTTAATAAGCTAGCACGTCCAAGCCCATGTCTCTGTTACCGTCGTCTCGCTGTAGGTACTTACATGCATTTGCGTTGATACACTGACACATGCAATACCATCGGTTGAGATCTTGGCAAGATCTTTCTAACTTACATAGCACCTTAGGCCCTAGACCCCAAACCCTGAACCCTAAACCCTACATCCTCAATCAGATGAAACCCTAAACCCTAAACCTTGAACCCTAAACACCCAGAATCAGATGAGCCGCTTCTTACTCATCTCGGAAAAAGCCATTTTGGCTGCATTGGCCCTTGCCGGATCTGCCTCCACCTTGGGAATGAAACATCTTTCTGGCCGTGGAATTTAGGGTTTAGGGCTTAGGGCTTAAAAGGCTTAGAGCTTCAAGGGCTTAGGGTCTAGGGCTTAAAAGGCTTAGGGCTTCAAGGGCTTAGGGTTTAGAGCTCAAAGGGTTCAGGGCTTAAAGGGTTTGGGGCTTAAAGGGTGTAGCGTTTAGTAGGGTTGAAAGGGTTTAGGGCTTAAAGGGTTTGGGGCTTAAAGGGTTTAGGGCTTATGGTTTAATGGGTTCAGGGGGATTTCCGGTGCTGTAAGACCAGGTTTGGCCTAGACACCTGGCCCCTACATGTTACCCTCTATCCAGATCTGTCTAGAAAAGAACCGCAAGGGCTCGATTTAAGGCTTTAGGGAGCTTTCGGGTTTAGGTTTGTAGGGTGTAGGGTTTAGGCTTTAGGGTATATGGGTCAATGAGCTGTTATCTATTACTAGTAAGTTTTTACCTTTCTAGCACTTTACAGCTGCGATGGTGGTCACTCAAGATACCAGAATTCCGTTCTGCTTAGGTTTAGAACACAGCATCATTCGACCAGGAACGGATTGGCTACAATGGAAGATGGGCCTGCTTCTTGGTGCTGAAATCGTTTTCTACGATGTCTTTCAAAGTCAGACTGCTGTACGAACCTCAACAAACAGTCACGAGTCTTGCCTTTGTTCACAAACATGTTGAGCTTGTGGAGCTTACGCCTGAACCCTAAACCCTAAACGCCTTACCCTAGACACTTCTACAGTTTAAGTTTAGGCTGCGGACGGTTTCTCGGAGGTAGTTGCTAGGATCAGGGTTGAGGGTTTAGGGTTTACTTCTGCTGATGGACAAAATTCTGCATGACCCAAATATAGTATAGTACCATAAATCCCATAGCTTAGGTATATAAGGTCATGCAGGATTCTGTCCATCCTAAACCCTAAA